GATGACAACAGAAAGAGCTTATAGAGAGCCTTCTCCACGGCACTCATCTTGCTTTACAATGGATTCAATTACCATTTGCTGTACCCTCTAGGCTGCAGGACCTGGGTCTGTTTTATCTCAATGTTTTAGCTTCAATGCCTGGCCCATAACGGTGTCAATAAATAATTGTTAAATAAATAAACACCAAACACCCCCAACAATTCATAGGATTTCAACAACTGAACTTTAAAAGCCAGTATACCAAGAACTCTTGTCTTTTAATGATTTTGGTTATGTCCCCCAAACTACAGAAATTCTAGGTTTCAACTTGATTATCTTAATCGCACTACACCTTCCAGGCCGAGTCAGAAAACGCTGGCTAGTTCATGTAATTCTGTCAAATCACCTCTATGCTGAAATGTTAAAGGAAAACAAAAGCAAAGTACTAAGTTGGTTTAGGCTGATGAACTTCAGTTAGTTTAGATTGCACTGAACTTTCACCAGTTTCCTTCTGCGGTTATGAGAAAAGAATTTGCTGTTAATGCATTCTTTTTAATTTAAAAATAATTTCTGATTTCCCTCCATGTTTAGGAGATAAAGCTCCAGGATTCAAAAATAGAACTTTAAAAACTGTCAGGTCCCTTTTCCCTCCTTTTATTTCATTTATAAAAGTAAGACAGGTTAGCAGTCAGCAAGTTTAGCTCTCAGTTTGAAAGAGCCCTTTTGCCCCTTTCCTGTTTGCCCAATTCTGTCCCCCTCTAACCTTAAAAGAACCTAACTGTAGGAATGAGATCACTAAGCAGTTGAAATGAACTCCTGACTTATGCTCTCCTGAACGCACACCAGGCCTCGCCTAACGATACTTTTTCTAGATAAAAAGAAGAATGAAAAATTGAGCAGTTAAAGACTGACTAACTCTCCACAACCCCCTTAGCAATCCTGAAGGCAGGTCACCTGGGCTAGATAACCTCTGAAAAGAGAGTCAGCCGGTCTGCATGCAGTGGAGATGGTGAAGGACCCAACCTCCTGCCTTAATGATTCACTGACATCCTTCCTCCCATCTCTTCCTTAAAAAACTATCATGGCTAAGCAGACTCTTCAGAGATGGTCTCAGGACATGAGCCACTGTTTCCCCAGATGGCTGGCTTTTCTGATTAAAGCACCTTTCCTTTCTACTGACACTTGATTATTGGCTTTTGAGTGGCAAGCACCTGAACCTGAGTCTGGTAACAAGCTCACCCACCCTCTTAAGCTGATTAAGTACCACATTCCTATCTATCAAACAAAACATCAAGTTGCTCTTAGGCAAGATGGAAAAAAAAAATAAAGAAAGAAAGAAAGGAACCCAAATCCAAAACAAAACCAAAAAACCCCCCACAATAAAACCAAAAAACCACAAAACAATAACAGCAACAAAAACAACTCCAGAAACCAAAAAGGCCAAACCAAAGCAGGAAAAAAAAAAAAAAGAAAGAAAGAAAAACCCCAAAACCCAATAAAACAACACCCTCTGCACACTGGATTTCCTGAGTGAGTTTTTAAATAATCCTTACAATTACGTACAGGGGGAATCCTTCCTGTCTCTCCCAGCTCCTGATGTTCGCCAGCAGGCCTTGGTATTCCTTGGTTTGCAGATGCAGCACACTAATCTCCACCATTGCTAGCACATGGCTTGTGTGCCTCTCCTTTATCTTACAAGGTCTCATACTGAACCAAGGGTCCACTCTACTTCTATATGACTTCACCTTAACTAATCACACCAACAACAACCCTATTTCCAAGTAAGTTCACATTCTGAAGTACTGGAGTTTAGGATTGACTTCACTACACCTTTTTCGGGGGAACACAATTCAACCCACGACAGTATTCTTAGAACTTTGAGTTATGTGAGTTTTTGTACTAGAATTCACTGCCCCTTAGGTAGGATGTATTCCTTTAACCTTGTTACCCTTTACTGACTAAGAAAAAAACTGGATTTGTTCACTTTTAGCTGAGAAAGTAAACGTCTGATGACTTGCTAAAAACAGAGACTGATAAACAACACCTAGATTTTCTACTAGGCTAGAGAATAGTAAACGACTAGTGCCTGAAAGATTATTTTTCAAGAGATGCATCAACAAACTCTGAGACACAGATGAAAATTTAAAAACTAGCCCTTACAAACTTAACAAGATCTTCTGCTATTCAGGGGTCTCTCCTCTCCCTCACACTCTTGTTTCATTCTCTCCCCACTCACTCCATTTTTCCCCCTCCAGGTATGGCCATCTTTGGTAAGGATGCTATGTACATTATTATCATTTTGCAGATTTTAAAAACTGATGTATAATCACTAAGTACAGTCAAAGGAGAACAGCAAGCAAATTTGTATTTTTTTAAGTTAGTAGGTGTCATAATTTTGTCTCTATTTTATGTTTTCCAGATTCACTTGCTTTCCTCCTATTATGCTCAGCCTTACAGCACTGTCCTTTATTCTCAAATTCTCTCGGTTGCTGTGTCTCCCGACTGGAATGGCCTTACCTGGCACACACTTCTTCAGAATCCAGCTTTTTCTTTGAAACTTTCCCCCAAAACCTTGGAGTTCTGAGTACTTTTAGCACATTGTATGTGATTTTTATGCTCTGTTCTATTATTAGTCTTAACCAGACTGTGAGTTCTTCCTCTTAAGAAGACAGCGGTGAGGGCGTTACGCAGCTTGCCTCTGCATTCCAGGTGTGCAGCCCAAAGCCTGGCACCTAGTTCCCGCTCCATAGATGCTTACTGTTCAGAAGTGACAATTAACATGCACAGATGTGCTTCAGTTTTCACAGCGCGTTCGCACGACCTCATTTAATCCCTGCAACCTCATGTAATAGTAATGGTCGCCACCCTATCGTTTCTCGTTTGCAAAGTGTGAAGCAGAGACTGAGAGGTTAAGTACCTTGCCCAGCGCCAGTCAACAATAAAACGTGACTAGTACCTGGTCTTCCACTCCGAGGACCGGGCTCTCGACACTACCTAAGACGCTGAGGCCAGCGCCAGCTTCGCACCACGACTCCCCCGGGAGAGCCCCTGCGGGCGGCCTCACTGACGCCGCCCGGAGATGCGCGGACCCTGCGCGCCACCTGCGCTCCTGGACCACGTCTCCCAGCGCGCCCTGGGGCCAGGCCTCCGGTGATTGGTGATTGGTTGCGACGGCTCAGCCAATACGGCCGCGACGAGCCCTTGCAGACCAATCCCAGGCCTGGGGGCGGGCCCTCCGGCTCAGAGGCTGGATTGAGTGCCGAGACGCCCGGAGTCCGAGCCTCCTCGAGCCTGAGGGGACGGTGAAGCCTGGCCGCGCGTCTCGGCCGCCACGTCGTCCTCCTCTTCAGGCCCGGCCCGCGCCCCGCGAGAAGGAAGC